AGTATAGAACCTTTAGGTGAACTACTTAAATTAGACAATAACTAAAGTTGTACGAGTAACTAGTTGTATACTCTTCTTATAGTTGCCTCCTGTGGTTGTAAAGCATCTATTAGCCAAATATACTACTAATAAAATCCTGGGTTACAAGTACTCACCTTAATATTTAAAAAAAAAAAAAATTAAAATATATAAAAAAATTTTTCTACAAACTTTTAAAATTTGACTTAGTTGAATTATAAAAACTAATTAATTTTATATAATCTAATAAAAACTTAACCAATCAAATTTATTTTTATAGGTGTGGCAACTTAGTAAAGTGGATAAGTTATCATACTCCCAAGTAGTAGGTTGTAAGTTCAAAACCCATCGATAGTGAAATTTGGATAATCATCTATGTAATATATAGACAGTATTATGGCAATGGCATTTTGTCGATCAGTTGGAATAAGATACCTATAACTATGGTCATACTAGCATGACTGGCAGGTCTGGAGCATCTGTGTAACCTGTTATACGGAGGAATGCAAACTGGTACTAGACAGTGTAAACCTAAAATAAGTCCTCAAGCCATGTAAATCTGTAGAACTAGGAAGTCAGAACTCACTTGGAAATTCTAAGCAAAGAAGTAACATGAATTTTCAACAGTACTACTGTAAAGACTAGATCTAGAAAATGGATATCAATGTGAAGGATTCAGGTGAACAAAAACCTTGGGTAAGAGGTACCACCAACCAGGCTGTTGGATTTTGGACCAGAGAAAAAGGATATTGAATCAGCCTCAATATACCAAGAACAGGTTACAGTTCTTCCAAACTATTTGGATTGGAAGTTTGAGTTCAAAGCAGATATATACTAAAAGTACTAGGGATATGTTATGAAGTCAGTACTAAGATCTGGGTAAATTCTGCAAGAATAGCCTGTGTTAGTATTCTAAAAATGGGTAGATAGTTAACAACAGGAGACCTTCTGTACCTTACTGGCAGATGACATATTCTGAAATATGTAATGGCTTGAAAACCAGTACAAAAAAGATAGGTACCATACTGTTCAGATGGTATATCAGTTAGGTATATACAGAAGGTTAGTTGGGGATTCCAATATGATAGGACAGATAATCAGAGGATTTAAATAGATAATCTCCTAGTAGGTTATAGGTACGACATCTAGTATAGAACCTTAGGACAAACTGCTTAAATAGGCAACCAAAAGTTGTATGTATGACTAGCTATACTCTCATCTCTGTAAAAATAGTTGTAATAACTAACCTGATATAAAATCAATAAAGTATCACCACAAGTATGGCCTTTAACAAAAAAAAAAAAAAAAAAATTTATTTTTATAATTACAGTTATCCTCCCATATAATCACCCTCTATAGAGTTACAAACTCTATATAATCACTTTTTTTTAAATCACTATTTTTTTATTATTAAATAACCTTCTATATAATCACAATAGGTTTATAATCACTATTACATATATTTTTATTTTTATAAAAATTTTTAATAATAAAACTCCTTTTATATAATCACATACAAGATGTGACCCGAATGCAATTTCTTCACTCAGGTCACCCGTATAACTTAAAACCTGAATCTGATCAATTTTGGATCATTTCAATTTGAGCTAAGCTGTTTATGAATATCACTTTGTTATCAATAATTAGTGAAATTTCCGCTCATATATTTAGCTGACGACAAGAATAAGCAATTTATAAAAAAGGGTTTCAAAATTAAAATAAGTACTGTAGCAGAAGGGTTTAAGAAATCAGATTTGTTTAAAATTTTAAAATCGCAAAATGTAGTATTAGTAGCTATATCAATAATAGTATAGTCAAATTTAATAAAATTATTGCAATATTTGTTTTTATGAGATAAAATTTTAGATATGTTATTAAATCAGTACTTTAATTTTAATCAACAGTTAATTACAGTAAATCACATTAAAAAACAATTTATTAAATTATATAGTACTGTACTGTATTACAGATTTCGCATATCTTTTATATAAACTTTCGCTGATATAGCAGGTCGCTAAATAAACTTACACTTATTATAAAATTGGTTTTGTAGCGAGAATGACCTTGTTTGCATCCTTTTACTCTTTTCACATCACCTTTTTTCCAATTCTGAACCACACTATATTTTATCCTTGGGCTTCACCACCACAAATTAAAACCGATGAGTATTCTTGGACATTATGACCTTCACTAGAATAGAATTTATAAATCATTTATTTTTAAACAAATACATTGCTTATTTTTTTTGAAATAGTATCTGAAAAATTTCTAAAAGCAGAAGCCTGATGTGTTGAAACTTGAATCAACAGAATTGTAAATTAAGGTTATTACATAATATGCAATCATCATAAAGTTTTTGCCACATCGCATTAAATAAAATAATTTTAAGAATCAGCCTCATAATCAGTAAAATTTAAATTTGTTTCTATATGCAGAAAAGCTTGATAATTTTTGTTCAAAAAAAAGATGCGTGACATAATAAAATCCGCAGATTCAAAGAATTTTACATAAGTATTATAAAAATATCAGGTTCTGGTTTTTTCTGATTCTTGGCACCCATCGTGACAACGACAAAGACATATCGGGAGCTAATAGAGCTATCAAAAAAACTATCAGATACTTGATAGCTTTATCAAGTATCTGATAGTTCTGTTAGCTCTCAATATGTCTTTGTTTTTGTCACGATGGGCACCAAAAATCAGAAAATTAAAATCTAATATTTCTAGAATACTTATTATATGCACTTTATTTCAACCTGTGCAAGTCTCTTTCGGTCATCATTCAATTTTAGATTAGCAAGTAAATAATTAAACAAATCAAAAATTATTTATACTTACTGCAGTTATATTTACTGATTAGATCAATTTAAACAAATAAAAAACTTGCAATTTTTAATTTTTCTTAATTTCCCACAACACTTTTTAATCAGTATCCGATTTGAATTTCTTATTTGGCATCACTTAAATTGATTTAAAAAGAAACCTGTAATTACAAATTTGAATTTCACTATACCAGACTTGAATTAGAAATTGTGCCGCATTGATAGTATTTTGAACATAATTAATCGCATTTGTATATAAAATAATCAGAACCTAATTTTCAGAAGTCCAGTGTGGCAAAATTTAAATTTGTATTTACAGGTTTTATCTTAGCCACACTTATATATAATCATTAAGATATGTTTCTTAAATGACCAAAAAATTCAATTAAAAAAATGAGAAAAAAAAAATGCAATAATTGGTGGTGTACATCAAACCTGTACGAATTTGAGGTTTAAATCATTTCAATATTACTCATGTGAACTTGACCAAACTATTATCGATCGTGCAAACTTGAAATCCAAACCATTATCTATCGTCATTATCAGCTTGTGAAGTGAAATCCAATTGTAATTTGAGATCTGTTTCTGTGTAATGCAAAATTTACCAAACAGAGCATATAATTAAAGCTTGTTAGTGATTAGAAAATCTGTAAATTAATTATCAATAATACTTATCATTACTATTCTTTGAAAAATATGATGTAAAAAAAAATAATAATAAATTATTTAGAAAAGGTAAAAATTTAAAATTCCAACCTACCATTACTTGGCATTGTTTCAAATAGATAAATTTCGTAATTGTAGTTGTCATTTAAAGATTAATAGGCCTTGTATGTACTTTAAATATAAAAGAGCCATTAGTTTCATAAATCACTTTAAATAAAATTCTTAAATGTCATCTAAAAATTTATCACAAAAAAGACTGAGAACAGCTGTTAGTGAACATTTGAAATGTGAAATATGTGAATATAGTCAAAATAATCCTAACACAAGGCAAATAGATATCGCTAACCATTTCAATTCTCAAGACCCCAACTTAAATTTGGATCGGACCACTATTTCAAAGATATTAAAAGATAAGTCAAAATGGTTAGCAGTTACAAAAGACCAATTAAGTTCTACAGTTTTTCAGCATAAAAAAGTGAAATATTCTTTATTGGATCAATCAATGAGACTCTGGGTTGAACAAATTACTAACAGTGAAGTGATTCTAATGGAATTAATGATTAAAGAAAAGGTGGCTTCTTTTGCAAATGCCTTGGGCCTAGGCGATGATGCTTTAAAATTTTCCAACGGATGGATTCATAAATTTAAACAGCATAATAATTTAAGAAATTTTAGATTACATAGAGAAGCCAGCAGCGTACCACTATCTTCACTTCTGGAATATAGAGAAAAATTACATAAGTTGATTGAAAATTATACATTGAATAATGTGTTTAATGCGGATGAGACAGAGCTATTCTACTGTATGGTGCCAGACCAAACACTTGCCTCCCGATCAATACCTGGATTTAAAAAGGCTAGTTATTATAAATTATAATAAATTTAATGATATTTGTTACCCATATAGTAAAGTTATCCAGTATATGAAAAATAGTATTACGAAAAATGTATTTACTATAATATTTGTGGCAATAATATTCTCTTGTATCTTGTGTATGTTTTTTTTATACATTTCTTGTAACATGATTAATATTTTTTATCTACTTATTTTGGGACTAAGTTAATTTTGAAACCCTCTTAGTTAGCTTACCATGATTTGTACCTGGGATTAATAAAGTATATTTCGTAAATATAATTGTAAAAAACTCAAGTACTATTTGTCACAAATTATAGTATATGTAAAATTGTGTAATAAACATTTTTGTTTAAAACCTAAATTGGTTTTCATAATAAATTTTAAGAAATTAGCAAATTTTAATTTTTTTTTTATATACTAGGTAACTTATTTACTAGTACAAATAAAATTTTCTTATTCTAAGCATTTTAATTTGCATAATAATTAGAATCGTTTACGGATCACTATTATACTAACATGTAACGCAACAGAAACCAAAAAATTAAAACCATTAGTAATTGGGTCTTCAGTTTCTCCTCGTGCACTTCATAATGTTAATTATGATTTTTTACCTGTTACTTATCATGCAAATTCCCAGGCATGGATGTGAAATGATATATTTTCTGAATGGTTAATAAATTTGGATCAAAAATTTCATCTTCAGAATTGCCAAGTCTTGTTGTTAGTAGATAATGCCTTATCACATTTTCATAACCAACCTAGTACCCATGAAACACATGAATCAAATGAATCAAATTCTGATTTAGATGAAGAAACATCTAATAATTCAGAACTTGAAGTAACAACTGTTTCACGTGGGAATCGTTGAGGTCGAGGTCGGCCAAGATTAACCTGAACTAATCAGAGTGCAAATAATAGTCATGATAATCATAGTAAACATGATAAACATAGTACTGATAGGAGTAAGGGTCATTATGGTAGTGGTTATAGTCAACCATATATTATTCCTGATTATTCAAATGTAGAATTAACTAATATTAAACTTGAATTTTTATCCCCAAATACCACTGCACACCTGCAGCCTATGGATGCAAGTGTTATCAAAAGTTTCAAATCCAAATATAAGCAAAAATATATCTGTTATATTCTAATGCAACTTGAAAACAATGAAGATTTAAAAAAGTTAAAAACTTATACCTTAGACTATCATCAATATAAATCAAGCAAATTAACATTTTAAAAAAAATTAATACCTTAACTTATATAAACCCATATTTTGATGTTATTTTGTTATTTAATAGTCAAAAAAAGCTTAAATCTTTTATTTAAATCATGAAAATAGTTTCAAAGTTCATCGAGATATGAGCTATAAAAATTAAGACATTAATTTTTTTTAAAAAAAATAGTAATTTGCTTAATTTCTATTGACACCTGCCTTTTTAGTTCTTTAATTGATAGGTGTTTTTTAATACTAATTATAGTTCAATTTTAATTAGAAAAAAGTTAAATATTAAGAACACTATATACTACGTATCTGAGTCTTGGGATGCCATTGAAGACCAAGTAATTGTTAATTGTTGGAGAAAAACCAGAATTCTATCATCAGTTTCCCGTGAAGAAATAGAAGTTGCTATTAAGAATCAGGATATGTTGTTAGAACAGCAAGAAGAGGATGTTAATGACTTGGTAATAGACTTGATCTCTCAAGATCCAGAAATTAAAAGCCAATTAAATACATATTTAGACCTCAGTGATTTGCATATAATAACCGAGGAAAAGCTTGAAGATTTGAAAATTATTGAAATTGTTATAGATGAAGCAAATCAATGCAAAAATGGAGATCCTGATGACTCAGATGAAGAACAACCAGAAATTTCTATTTCAGAAGGACTAATGAGTTTAAATAAATTTATTAGTTTTTTTGAACAACAAATTGATGCAGATTTCAAAGCTGAGGATCTTAAAATTTTTCAAAAATACTTAGCATTGTTAAACCGAAAATATAGAGAATCTAAGTGCCAAGCGTCTATTAGTGATTTCTTTATACAATTAAATAATGAGGATGATTATGATGTATTGAGACTTTTTTTTTTTTATACACATATATGTACATTTGATATCACGTGTTTATTTTTATTAAGGAGAAAAATTGTAGTAACTTGCGTGATAATTATAAATAATCCTCAGTATAAAATATTTTGAAAAAATTTTCTTTCGTAATTCGAGAATCAAGGCATTCGGTATGTTAAAATACTTTGATAAGTTCATTGTACCGAAAGTGTGAAAAAAAAGCCCAATAATAAAAAGTTGATCAGTTTTAGGCATCAATATTGCAAGCCAAAATCGCTTCAAAAAAAAATTAAAAGTTTACCTCTAATAAAGTAATTAAACATAATAGTTTCTCCTTAAGTCGTCAATCGAAAAGTCAATATGATCTACATGAATGTGTTAAGATATGCGGATCAGTTAAATAATACTGTCCACACTCAAATCCTGTGACATAATCCAATACTCGTGATCTAGCTTTATTCGAAACTTCGATACTGCATGATTAACATTATAATGGTTTAAAGAGTACTCTAAAGTAATTGCACTCTGAATTTTAGAGTACTGGTAAGTACTTTAGAGTACCTATAGAGTACGTTGTAAAAATGGTCCGGTCCATACTCAATTAGAAGTAGGTCCTAGTACTCTAAATGATATAACCGGTACGGTAAGTATTACATTTAATATAAATTAGTGCCGCTCAAGGAAAACCTGTCATCGGATTTTCAATTATATTTTGTACTAGATACAATCTTTAACAAATTATACTGACTTTGACCGATACAAATATAAATGAAAGCTCGATGACAGGTTTTCCATTGACGACACTCAAATAATCCAGTAATTTGATCAACACTAATTATAGTTTGTGTCTATTATTGTAAAGTCTGATACTTACAAGTTTTCCCTGTACAGATTATTGTCATTTAGCAAAGATATATACATTATTACATACTCGATCATTATCGAAATCAAAAACTTATCAAATTGGC